AGAGAGAGAGAGAGAGAGAGAGAGAGTGAGTACGGTAGGGGGTGGGGGAGGGGGGTGTTAGGTGAAGCGAAATAACCGAACTCGGAACAAAATTATACATTTATGTATGATGAAAATATACGGATAAGAATTAGAGGTAGGCCGTGGGCTATAGGAATATCACTCGATGAGCGTTCAACTTTTCAGAAACCGAAGTTGATTGATGCGTCTTGACTGATGCGTCGTGTCAGTACGCATTAATTAGTTTTGAAAAAAAAAAAAAGGAAAGCTAATCGATGAGCAAGCTTCATAATATGACTCTAATTTTCACATCGTTAGTTTGTTGAACATTTGTAAGCTTGTGTTGTTTGTTATTAAATAGATACGATCTGACAGTTCCGATAGGGTAATAATTTTTACTTACTGTCGGGCCGAAACACAATTGGAGTGTTAGATCTAGAAACTCTTCGATCGATCCTTCCCCTCCGACCAAATCAATATGTACACAACCATATTACTGCAGAGAAATAGAACACTGAATTCGCTCTGGTGAACAAAAAATAATGGCCGACTTAGATCTAGAACAAAAATAATCATTAACTTATAACTTGACTGTTGGTGGGGGTGGGGGTTTGTTGGTCTCCTTCCACCCTACCCCTGCCCCCTTTTTAATTCTTTTTTTTTTGGGGTGGGGGGTGGGGGGGGGGGTTTCCAAAGAAACCGACATCAGTTTAGTTGACTGTGTATGCACCTCCAGCTAGTCCACAAAGCATGGTTATTGAGTTGGCGTGAACAAAATATGAATCTAGGCTAGATAATAATTATTATAAAGGCCAAATGATGAAACACTGTTTTATTATAAGATAGATAAGATATGATACATCTTTATTGTCGAGATCCTGGCAGATTAATTTTGGGTCTCACCATGTAAACATACACACACACACCCACACACACACACACACACACACACACACACACACACACACACACACACGCGCGCGCGCGCGCGCACACACACACACAAACATGCACACACACACGCAGGCTTACAGTCACATGCATAACATAAATGAAAAGCAATATAAAGGCTAGATACATACTCAATGTTATTCTGATACATGCTCTTAGG